TTTTTTTTTTTTTTTGGTGTGTGTGTGTGTGTGTGTGTGTGTGTGTGTGTGTGTGTGTGTGTGTGTATGAGTGTGTGTAACAGTGCTCGGAATAGAACTGGGGGATCTCATACATGCTAGGCAAGTGCTCTACAGGCTACATCCTGTTCAGCCTCTCCTCCCCTGACCTGGGCCTCAGGAAAAGTAAACGGAATGCAATGTCTGGTTAGCTTAACCAACATGTCCAGACACCTGTAGTAAATTGGTGGGTGGCAGCGCTGCTGAGTCAGCCATTTTCTTACCACCCATCAATCCTACCATATGCCTATGAATCATTTGAGGAACAAAAAAACCAGATAGCTAGTTAAATTTGTTGTCTAATACCTCTTCGAACCAGGTGGAAAATACTATACGCTGGAGGATATGCCGGGATGAAGAAGGGTCTAAAATTAAAGAAAGCAATGCTCGCATAGTTAAGTGGTCAGATGGAAGGTGAGTGTTGGGATGCCTGAGGGAGGCCTGGGTAAGTTGGAATTTCCTGTGTAGAACTTTATTGAGAAAATCTGGGCTGCTGGAATTACCTCAGAAACCCGAGATAAGCAGAAGTAAGGCCTTACTGCTGGGCTAGTGGGAGAGTGTAAATCTGACTTAATTGGATCCGATCCCTTTGCTCTGTCTTCTTGGCTAAAAGCCTAACCTTTGAAACCTCGGTAATTTGAAATAATCTTTGTTGGCAGTGCTGGGGATCAAACCCGGTGCTTCATGTGAACTTGGCAAGTGTTGTACCTGCTGAGCTATGGCCCTAGTCCCTAAATTGAAATTATTTGAGAATTCATTTCAGTTTGCCAATTAGAAGATATAGATTGAAAGATATTGTAAGACAACTCTAAGCTGAAAAGTATCTTTTACCACTTTTTGTCTGAAGTGCGTATTAGTTAATTTTCCATTGCTCTAATAAAACACCATGACCAAGGCAACTTAGAGAAGAATGACTTACAGTTCCAAAGGGATGAGTCCATCGCAGGAACTGTGGCAGCAGGCAGCAGGCATGGTGGTACGAACAGTTTAGAGCTCACTTCTCTCAAGCCAGGCAGGAAATAGCAAGCTAACTGGGTCTGGGGCTTTGAAAACTCAGAACCCACCCCTAGTGACATACTTCCTCTAGCAAGGCCACACCTTTTAAACCTACCCAAGTAGCAAGAAAAGGGGACCAAGTATTCAAATGTCTGAACATTTAGAAGTCATTCTTATTCAAGCTACCACCTAGAGAACAGATTTCATTTGTTTGTTTCTTTTTTGTTTTTCAAGACAGGGTTTCACTGTGTAGCCCTGGCTGTCCTAGAACTCACTCTGTAGACCAGGCTAGCTTTGAACTCACAGAGATCTGCCTGCATCTGCCTCCCAAGAGCTGGGATTTAAGGCCTGTGCCACCATTGCCCAACTAAGACCCTTTTCTTTCTTTCTTTCTTTCTTTCTTTCTTTCTTTCTTTCTTTCTTTCTTTCTTTCTTTCTTTCTTTCTTTCTTTCTTTCTTTCTTTCTTTCTTTCTTTCTTTCTTTCTTTCTTTCTTTCTTTCTGAGATTTTATTTATTTATTATGTATACAGCATTCTGCTTCCATGTACATCTGTACATCAGAAGAGGGCACCAGATCTCATATCGGATGGTTGTGAACCACCATGTGGTTGCTGGAAATTGAACTCAGGACCTCTGGAAAAGCAGCCGGTGCTCTTAACCTCTGAGCCATCTCTCCAGCCCACTAAGACCCATTCTTAAAAAACAAAAATGAAGCCAGGCGTTGGTGGCACACACCTTTAATCCCAGCACTTGGGAGGCAGAGGCAGAGGCAGGGGGATCTCTGAGAGTTTGAGGCCAGCCTGATCTACAGAGCAAGTTCCAGGACAGTCTCCAAAGCAATACAGAGAAACCCTTTCTCAAAAACAAACAAACAAACAAACAAAATAACAAAAAACAAAAATGAAGCTGGGCAGTGGTGGCTCATGCCTTTAATTCTAGCACTAGGGAGGCAGAAGAAGGTGGATCTCTGTGAGTTCCAGGACAGGCAGGGCTACACAGTGAACTCTGTCTCAAAAAATAAACAAAGACAACAACAAAAAAGACAGGGTCTCACCTAGTGTGGTAGTGCACATCTTCAACCTTAGCAGGCTGATCTCTGTAAGTTTGTGGCCAGCCTGGCTTACATAGCAAGTTCCAGGACAGCCAGGGCTACACAAACAAGACTGTATTTCATAGCCCATCCTGGTCCAGAACTCACTTTGTAGCTGACCCTGACCTTGAGCTCCTGGGCCTCTCGCTCCACCTCCCCAGTGCTAGGGTTATAGACAAACACTTGCATATCCAGCTTGGAGGGAGGCTATTGAGAGCATCTTTTGTTTCTATGAGTTCTGTGAGAAGGATCCTGTGCTCCTCACTAAGCGTCCTAATACCTCATTGTCTCTACTCTCCAGCATGTCCCTGCATTTAGGCAGTGAAGTGTTTGATATCTACAAGGCCCCACTGCAGGACAACCACAACCAGCTGTTTATACGGGAAGACACTGGTCTCCGGGGACAAGCCATCTTTAAATCCAGACTTACTTTTAGGTAACTTTCTATACATGTTGCTACTTGCCATTGAAGAACAAAGCAGAGCTGTGATGGGGAAAGCCTGACCCATCGGACTGTCGTCATTCTTATTGTGTAGCTCACCAACAACCATGTGTGGTTCCAGGATGAGTTTTCAAAGTTAACTACAAGTTTCTCAGGGAAGCAGCTCATGCTATGAAAACTTACAAGGAACTGGTTCGTGGTTTCTCAATGGCCGGTACACTTGCAAAAGATGCGCCATTGTAGCTTGCTACTTGGTGTGTCCTTACCCTCTAGTGAAACTAACCCAAGAAAGCTAAACAGTCATCAGAATATGGTACTGGTGTGTGTGTGTGTGTGTGTGTGTGTGTGTGTGTGTGTGTAGAGACATAGGGCCAGCTTTGCTTTGGCCCATCCTCTTCTTTTTTTAAATTATTTATCTTATTGGTGTTTTGCTTGCATGTATATCTGTGTGAGTCTTGGCTCTCTTGGAACTAGATTTAGAGACAGTTGTGAGCTGCCATGTGAGTGGTGGGAATTGAACCCAGGTCCTTGGAAGAGCAGGCAGTGCCCTTAACCACTGAGCTGTTTCTCCAGCTCCCTGGCCCATCCCCTTAAGGATGTACCTGTGACCAGGATCCAGCTTTCCTTGAGAGGTACAGCACTTACCATGAGTGGATGAATGGCTTCTTTGAAGATGCTGAAGTATTTTAAATGAGATTGTGGTCATGGTTGCACAACTTTGTAAATTAAAAACCAATTATACCCTGGGGACTGGGGCGCACATCATTAGTAAATGTGTTGGTTTTTTAAAAAGACTGCAACAACTGAAAGGGTATAGTCCTGAGGGTCTCAGTCTCACCAATTTGCAATTTCCTTAGCTATAAAATGTGTGTCACAGGGATGTTGTGTTAAATAGTACATAAACCTGGCAGTAAGTGCTCAGCCTTCCCACTTACGGATGGTTTTTAAGACATATCCTGAAGCATGCGCAGTTCTTAGTTTTTGCTTTCTACCCTTGCTCTGAGCTCTACACTAGGGTACTATTTGATTGCTTGGCACAGTTTCTTTCCTTATGTCCTTACTTTTATCTTCGTGACCCAGTTACAAGCTGTCCTTCTATACTCAGGAAGGAACCTGCTGTTTGTGACAGTGCTGCTATGTAACCCAGGCTGATTTGAACTTACCATCCCTCTTCACCTCAAGCTAGCAATCCTCCTGCCTTCGCCTGGGTGATGTGATTACAGGTTGCTTCCATGCTGAGACCCTTGTCTCATCCTGAGCTGTAGAGGGCCCTCACGCCACGGTGGCTCACTTTGTTTTTGAGACAGGACCACACACTTGGCCACCTATTTTTTTAAAACCATCCTACTTTTATTGGGTGGAGGGAACATCTTCTAGTTCTCAAAGTGTTCCTGTAGTGCTTGCTCCACCCTGTGGATCTGAGATTTCATGATCCTTGTCTATGATTGCAGTTGGGTGTATGTCTTCTTTGTAAAAGCACTTAATCTGGCTGCCCAACTCTCCCCTGGCACTCTGGGTCAGTCCACTTCACTTTCCCTGAGTGGTGAGCAGAGAGAAACTGTGGTCCTCGTGCCTCCTCACTCTGCTCAAGTGTGAGGTCATCATTAAGCATGGACACTTTTGGTGTTCTTGGTAAAACTGAGACAGATTATTTCCTGTTCATTTCCTGGCAGACCTCACTGTACAGACAGTGCCACATATAAAAAGATGACCCTTTCATTTGGGAACAGAAGCTCAAAGACACAGATTCGAATCTTACCGATGGCTGGTCGTGACCCTGAGTGGCCTCGCACAGATTTGATTCAGGCATGTCGGGTAAGCTTTATGTTGGGACCTTTTGTACATTAAAGGCTGTTTTCTGAAGTTAAAAAAAAAAAATCACAAAGTTCTTTGGGTACAGCTTAGTAGCTTCGCCTTGTATGTGAAAGGCCTTGGGTATGACTCCTGGGTACCACGGGAGAAAAAAGAAGAAAACGGGAAGGTCTAAAGAACCTTCCTGACTCGTTTGACACTGGCTCAGCTCTTTTAACTCCAAAGTGTGCAATGCTGGGCAGTTCTAAGAAGTTGGTAGTTGGCAGTCTCCTCGGTCTGTTGTCAGAAGCTGGGGTATATTATTTGCATTGAAGGCCACAGTAGGAATGTCTGGGAAACTGAATAACTTGGCAGGGGTGGGGGTGGGGGGATGGGAGGGT